CAGTATTGTATTGTTTCCCACTCATACGATAACCATTCTCATGGGAAGCCATTTCAATGTTACGGCATGTCGTAGTGTGTGCGTCCACCTAACCTTTATCATTTGCTTGTCAATCWTCCAGTGTTGGAACAGGGCTCTACGGTTTGTTCTGGTCGCTCTTCGGACTAACAGATCTACAGAATTTCAGCACCAAAGACGAGAACTTCGCCATCACCAAGGAAACCGGAGAACTTCTGTTTGGGGTTTTTCAGGTYCTTGCTGTCATCGTGGCTATCAATATGCTTATAGCGATGATGACGAGATCTTTTGATGAAATCGCGGTAAGATTTCTTTGGAATCATGATGGTTGTGATGTGAATCATATCATAGTTTAAAATCCACTTCCGGGTCCAAAACAAAAATCAGTATAAAGAATCTTTAAAGTTTTTCTTATTTAAGTTCTTCATGACAAGATTTGTTGTCCAAAATTCTAATTGTTTCAGGTGAAGATTACAACATCGAGGAAGTTTTACGCTTTATTTTAGCGTTTGGACCGAAATGATAGGTCTCAGCTTAAAAGCTCTTAAAGACCCCTTGCATGTGATGATGACGCCATCTTGAAAGGTAGCCGTGCCTTTGCATCGAAGCGAGACTAACGGTAAGCTTGCAATGATACAGACATGTGAATAGTTGTCCAAGGTGTTAAAAAATGTCTCTTCATTGCAAGCTCACCGTTCGTCTTGCTTCGATGCAAAGGCACGGCTACCTTTCAAGATGGCGCAAGGAACTGTAAAGGGGACTATTGTAAACCTATTGCTATGTCCTCCAAATTAAGCTGCATTTCGACGGACTGCAAGGGGTCTATTGCTCGTAGGTCTTATTTATTTGTCTTTTGGTTATATTTTTTATAGAGTAACGCCACCAAGAAGTGGAAAGTGTCACGAACTAGCCTGTGGATGTTCTGGGTGGAGAAGGGTAGTATTCTACCGCCGCCTCTCAACCTCATTCCTAATGTTCATTATTTGTACCAACAAATAAAACGAATGGTGAAATCATGTGAAAAGGTAAGAAAATGTACAAAACTACATGATTATCAACCACAATGGCGTTAGTAGCTAATAGTGTTTAGGAAGTGTGCAAGGTTTGGCATGAAATTTCCCGCCAAACCCACGTACAGGAACTTCATCAGTGCAAACGATTTAAAAGAAGCACCGAGCTAAACGGCGCGAGCGCGCGCGTTTTGGTTCGAAATTTCCCGCTAAACCCACGTACAGGAACTAAATTCATCAGTGCAAATTTTAAAAGTCACATAACTAAATGCCGCGAGCGCGCGCGTTTTAGCGCAAAAGGTCTCGCCAAATTCACAGGAACCCATAAGTGTAAAACCTGAAGAAACAATTTCCAGGTTATTCGTAAACGATTTTTCTGTTCTTCAGGTAATTTTTTTAAACATTTCAAAGTTTGTTGTCAAATGAAACGATAAAATGGGAGCCCCGAGTTTTAGGGAGCAAGGGCCCCTTGGTTTTCTTCCTCTACCTTAAAGTGCCCCTAATGCCTAATCACAGACCTTAHGTAAGTTAAAGATGTATTCACAAAAATGCGAAAATCCAAAAATGTTTCGAAATTGGATGCATTCCTGATTTTTAAGTGAGTTTTGAAAACGCGCCTTTTCATATAAGGACCGCGCGTGCGGGGAACTGGTGCGAATACGTCATCGGGGTGATACGTTCCAAAAGTGAAAGACTTGCGCATTCTTCCAAGTTGGATTCACTCGTACAATAAGTAAAAGCTCAATATTTCGGCATTTTTTCTTTTTTAAAACTTTTAAAAACAGCACTCTTGACCCACAAAAAAATTGGTGTATCACCCCGATGACGTAARTCTATACAATTTTACAGGCTCCTCGAACGCGGTACTGAAATTTCGAGAGAGAGTGGACACGAGAATTTTGCCAACTTTTTCGTGCCGTAAAGAAGCAGCAGGAATTCGTTTGAAACGAAAAAAAAATTGAAAAACGCGTTTATGACAAGGTGAGTATTTGTTCTAAATTGGTCTGTAATCAGGCATTAGGGGCACTTTAAGCCAATGATCCTGTAGCTTTCTAATGATAAATCTTTTCATTAAAAATTATTCAATCTATTTTTTTAAGGAGACTTTTGATGTTGACATTACTGATGGATTTGAGCATGAGCTGGAGGTAAGCCAAGACTAAAATCTGTGAAATCAAGGGTGGCGTATGTGTCTATATATGGGCTTATATGTATCTTCTCAAAAGTTACTGTTAAACAAAGGAAACAACTCAAGAGAATGACACGTGCCCGCTGAAACGAAAAAATAGTGGTTGGGTCTATTCTTGCCGTGTTTCAAATCTTTTACTTCCCTTTTTTAGGAGAGTGGTCAAAGTAGCGGCGAATCCAAGAGACATCGTAAACTCAAGGATATTCTCAAAAGATATATTGCCACAAGGAAGATAACAGACAACGTTCATCCAAGGGATGAAGAACTTAGAAGACAAACTTCTTTGTTGCAGGAGTTAAAAWTGAAAAGCGGGGATAAAACCTCGAAGACACATTTATAGACACTTTGCACTTTGGTGGTTCTAAATCATTAAACAAAAATCATAGGAAGAGTATAAACAAAATAATACTCAAGTATTCATTTATCAATATGAAAGCCAAAATCGTAATCTTAAATCGCAAATCGCTCACACAAATTCTAACATTTATCAAAAGCCGATTTTTTTCCTTTTGACGACTTTTTGATTTTGGTTTTTAACATTTTTCTTTCCAATGTTTTCATTGTTTCCTTCCCAAAAAGATTCGACCTGCCATATTTATGAATCAATGGTTGCTAATGAAAAACTGTGCTCATGCTCACACCGTTGTTCGTAGGTGATTTGAGAATATTTGCACTGCGCAGCTGCAAGTTCAACCCATTATTTACTAGGACTAGATTTRTAAATTTCTGCATTGCACTGCGCACGCTCACACTGCTATTTACACGCGGTTCTTTTACAGTTGAACAACCAATCAARATTTGGTACATATTCGAATGATAATAAATTCAAGTGAATTTTGTATGGCCAGAAACAGAAGAACGATCGGTAAGATGCCAAGACTGCTAAGAATCTTGGGTTTCATATAGTTGGAAAACTAAATATGTATTCACTTGTGCAGTGATGTCTACTTCGTTCTCAAATTCTTTCCTACGAGCCTGAATGGAAGCAACGACACCAAGGCAGTTCACAAAATTGACGTCAAAAATATCATTGAACTAGTGGAAAAGAAGCAGATTAATTTTTGCGAAGATTGAAGTACGATAAACAACTCTTCGGTGAAAACAATCATTCGAAAAGATAATGGTAAAGTTTTGAAAATTAAAGTAACTTGATAGTTTGATACGGTGTTAGAAGAATAGTGAAAAGACAGAAAGAAGGAAGAAAGAAAGAAGGGAAAAGAATGAAAGAAAGTAAGACTGAAGATTCAATATTAAACTGAATATGCTGAAAGGTTTGATGTTTTGATACTATACGTTTTAAAAAACAAACAAAATGAAACAAAAAAACAAAAGCTAAAAATCGCTTACGAAATTAAAGGACGACCAAAAAAGACCGGATTTATTCCTTTAAACACTGATATTTAAAAAAGTAGTTTTTCCAACAAATCTCTAGCATTGAAGACACGTCGAACTGTGAACGCTTTGAGTTTTTTTTTTTTTTCCAGCTGATTATTTCAAATGTCTAATTTCTTACTTAGTTTTCAAACCCTCTAAAATATTGAATTTAAATACACCGAGTTATCAAATTAAATCCTGCCGGGAATTTTTTCCCGAGAAAAATTTGCTTGTAAAACATAATTCGCATGTTTAAGGACTATCCAGGCGCAAAAAAAATCTTTCTTTAGATTAAATCCGGCTTATTTCCAATCGACTGTCTCAAGAGATGATTTACAGGGTATACATCTCAATAAAGTGACAAAAACTCGTCGAAGAGTTTAAGGTTATTTCGAGTGTCCTCGTTCTAATAGAAGATCAACATAGACGATTTCTTTAAATTCAGTCTTCTCAGTGCAAACATGTTACAAGAACAATATTCTTTATGACAGCACCTTAACCAACGCCGCCTTTATGTTTTAATTCTTCAATCGCTGCATATGCTTCTAAATTGATAAGCAAATAGCTCTAGATTGGGTGTATTATAACAAATGATAAACRCAGTGTTGCCTCTCTACACACCACGCGCTGTCATCAAATAATGACAGGATGAAGAGAAATCTTTTTTTGTTCTGTTTTAATCCTTAAGCAAATAGCTGCTGCTTATCTGCTCTAGKAGAATTAATATCCGAGGATTTAGTAAAGCACGTTTTAAGACAATAATGAAAGTATAAGGGTATCCTTCGTATAAGTGACGTCTAATTAAAAGGATACGAAATATGACAGGGTATTTTAGGCATTTTTAAAAGGAGTGCTAAAATTTTAAGAATGAATGAATGCGGAAGGAAGGAAGGAAGGAAGGAAGGAAGGAAGGAAGGAAGGAAGGAAGAAGTGAGTGAGTGATCATGAGTGAGTGAGTGAGTAAATGATAAAATAACCATTCTATGGCAATCCATTTCATTGTTACAGCATGTCGTACCATGTACGTACTGTAATTCAGTATATAGTAAGTTTCCCACTCATACAATAACCTCTCTAATTCAGACGTTATTTATCGATATAGGACGCGTCTATTAAGACCAGGTATCTTAAAAGGACTAGACCATATRAAACGCCTACTAAAATATATTATTACCAAGACCTGGCTAATAGCTCATAGAATATCAAAGTGTTTTGAGATGCTGGTCATAATAACTTGATGATTAAGTAATGAGAGCTGGCTGAAATGAAAGAGATAAAACGTCTGCCTTCTGACGGTCCGGTAGGGGTCAAATTGGAGCTGAGATTCGCCTTTTGGGGGCTTGGAAAATAGGATTTTATGCACTAGRGATTCACAACCAAAACAATCAAAAAATTGGAATGGGTTTGAGATTTAAGGAAAAGACAGGCTGGGACTATGGGATTTGGTCTAATGGGGGCTGGGCTGCCCATTCAGGACCCTCTTTTACCACTAAGAGGTCCTGCAGGTCGGGTCACGATTTTTTTCACTATTCCTGCGGAGGCYACATGTGAATAAACAGATGAGGCGGTAAGCCGTGTGGGATGGGCTCGAAAATTATATAAGAACATGCGTAATAGGTAAATTACGAGCCTGGTATGAAACGAATGAAGAAGAGTGCCAATAAAAAGCGCATAAAAATGAGCGCATAAAAAATGAGCTGGCTCGTAATTTACCTATTACGCATGTTCTTATGCGTGAGTAAACAGAGTTTGTTTGATATCTACTCTCGGCCTCGATTAGAGGGGCTAGCTTTTCTACGGGTTTCCTTCCTAATCAACAAATGAGTTAAGAGTCTCGTGCATAGAATATTGCCTTAGTATWAGTGTGTAAAAGCGAAAAAAAGGCCAACATAGCTTTGCCCTCTCCGTCCCTTACCGCGAGAACGGCTTTTTTTCCGGGTTAATTTTCCGGTTTTCTTCTTCGTAAAAATCAGCATTTATAAAGGTGAGAATTYCGTACTGATAAAATAATATTTTGAATATCGTAAACCTTTAGTTAACCATTAGTTAATTTGTTCGTCCACTACCAATATTAAGGGAAACAAAAGGCGAAGCACAGTAGACCGCGCGCTCACGATTGCGACTATACGTAAAAGATCGTGCTTTATAAGCCATCGTGAGTCGACRTAATTGTTCTCAGATCAAATACGGTTCAAATACACTACGTTCAAGTAGCTTCACACCTTCTCTCCTATTCTCTAATCCGTCATGAAAAAGCATCTTTTGTTAGCGAGCTTGTAGCCAGTGATAAGATCAAAGGAGCTACTTCAGAAGTCCCACTGTGAAGTGCTTTCGAGATCTGACAGAATACAAAGGAGCCAATTTAGGTGTTTGTGTTCCCGTCTGGAGTACTTGACTAGCGTTGATGTAACCTCAATTGCCCGAGAATTTAAAACAGTAATGTTTTTTTTATGAATAGGTTATAACCTCCATTGATACTGAATGCTTCTTTTCTTTGATGATCTGTTTGATTGGTACTTGATATTCGACTGGTTGGATCTCCACGAGATGTAGCCGCGAGCTTGTTCTACGAAAGCTAATCGAGCGTCTCAATCAATGGCACTATAAAGATTCGTTTGTTTTTGATTGATAACGAACACGTTCACTCCTGCTGTGACGCACAAAAAATCTGAATCGGAGTGAAAAGTCACTAAACAGGTGTGTGCTATCATTTGAACAAAAAAACCAAACAACCCACCGCTTGTATTATCTAAATTCAAATTACTCTGTCCTGCTCTAGTGTTTGCTGGAAAGGAATTTAAAACTGATAATTCATAATTGTTTTGCTTTGGGTTCCCCCGTCGGTATTCTTCTTCTTCTTCTTCTTCTTCTTCTTCTTTTTTTTTTTTCCTTTTTTTCTGAAAGCCTTACACGCTAAATTCCAAATCGATCTGTGAGCCGCCGTCTAGCTGTGCCCTGAGTTTGATCCGAGTAAGGCCCCATCCAACGCCGGATAAATTTAAATCCGAATTTTTACTTATTCGGTTAGGCCTACCGTCCACAGTAGTCCTGGCGATTCACCGAAAACGATTTTTTTTTCGAATACGGTCTCCAGAGTGGAACAATTTGAAAACGCCGGCTAGCCGTATTAGTGTGGACGGAAAGCTTTTTTTTCGGTTTTGGTTTGAAAATTCGGATTCAAATTTATCCGGCATAGCGTGGACGGGGCCTAAGCCCGAAGGTTGTATCAGGGTTCGATAAAATAAAATACAACTGGAAATGTTTTGAATTTGAAGATTACATTTTCCCGCATAATTCCATGATTTCATTTTCCATAATTTTGACCGAAAAAACATAACCTAGAAATACCCAACAAGGTTATTCCGAGCATTACCCTTGAAAGAAACGGGAAATTTCAATGATTTTGTTAGGATACGTAATATATATCACTATAGATATACTAATATGCAACTAGTTGTATTTGACTGATTATTTCTTAGTAATTTAATATAACTTTTAAATAACTTCGTAGTCTAATACCCCATACACCTAAACGTGTTTAGTCAAACTATGTTTTCATTATGAAAAAATTGAGAAACTAGAAGCCTACAATATAATGAAACTTTCTAAAATATTATCAGAGCAAGACAAAGGATAGCTTACACACATTATTTTACCAGATATTGTGCAGTGTTCGTAGATAGTTTTCCAAACCTGTTTAGTTAAACCACTTTAAAACATGTTTAAGCCTTGGTGTGAATTAGGTATAAGGGATATATATGCATATAGATTATACTTGACCAATATCATTTCTAAATGTTTGGTGTTGAATGCAATACAGAGTGAATAAGAAGGAATAATGTTTTTAAAAAAAAACACATTAAAAAGTTTTCTAACTATAAGAACGTTTCGGACGTTTCCGTCATCGGAGTAATTTTCAGAAGACAAATTATCAAATGAGTTTAAAAAGTATCCGCTGTTTAACTGATCGAAAATTTGTCATTGACAAGTATGGGATTATTGACGGAATTTATGCTCCAATATTACAGTATTTTTAGACTAGTCAATATATAATTTAATACACGTTTTACATTTCCGTGATTGACTCTGAATTTGTACACAAATTTTTTTGATCCCTGAAACAGAAAGTTTTTGTACGCGAATCTTGAAATATAATAAAGCGTTTCGATTCCTCAGATTCAATCTTGCACTATCCCGGCCCCCTCTTCTGTAAAGAATGATTCGGAGTATGTAGTCCAGATCCCAAGCGTGCATAAAATCCCTGACCTTGCTCTTAACTAGTATGATTGATTTGAATGATGAAGTCAGTTAATCGAGTATATTTTACAGGTGGCAATAAAATACTGTCTTTTAATGAGATTTTAACAAACCTATAATTTCCTTTGCACAAACGCCTTAGAAATTCGTTGCGTTTGCAGTCAAGTGATCATGAAAATTAATATCCTATTTTACTTCCGATTTTCGAATTCATTTATCCAATGATTTATACCCGAGAATTATACCACCTCACCTAAGTTATAACTCTATTCTAACCACGGTGTAAACCTAACTAGAAAGTTGGTTAAAGTTTACTCCGACTTTAAGATTCGGCAGTGCATGGTTCTCAATATGAAGTTTTTTTCCACAGTTTAATTATGTTTTAGCATTAAAATATAGATTAGGAATTTAGTGTACAGCTTTCAGAAATYGTGTCGTCGTCGAGCCTCGACAATATAATGACTTGTTAAACATCCATTAACCTAACTCTATTTTAAACCAAATTTATCTTTTCTACAAGAGGTCCTTAAATAGATGCATAGACTTGAGACCTATTTTTGTTCGCCACACACCGCTTCGAACCGAGTTACAATTGTGAGTTGTGTGCTGACTTTGATCAGCCTAGAGGTTGTTTCAGGGTTCGATCTGTGAGTTTGCCGTGCTCTATAACTTTAATCAGCCGAGAGCTGAGGTTGTTTCAGAGTATCAATGATTTTTTTGGTATTAGTAGCAGTGTAGCTTTAATCAAAAACAAACCGACCTATATCGAACTGATTCGTTGAAATTACAATGCTGTTTTGATGTAAGTAAAGCTGTGTCATTCACAAAAGGGAAGTAATTATTCTTTTTGTGTAAAACTCATGAATAGTGGTTACTGGTTTTAATATATATCAATTGAAATAAATTAAGTTAAATTAAAGTAACAATTCCTCAAAATAAGAGAAATCTCTTTATATTTTTTTACGGATAAATTTTGAATGAATTGTTAACGATTTTCCTCAATAGATCACCTTAAATTGATTTTAAATAAGATAAGGTACAAATACGTTCTCCATTTTGGTACGGCGTACAATCAAATGATACAAATAATACAAATGACAACATACAGAGTGTTTTACCAGCATCTATTCAAAAGCTTCACCGTTCCTAAACAGTGGCCGTTTTTGAACTTAAAAGACGCGTCTCATTGGCTTCCCCTGTTGTGAAAACTCTTTTGTATTGATCCAACTCACAGCGTCCTAGTTACCATCGGCTCGTAAAGCCAAGATCTTTTTATCACTTAGTTTTATTCCAAAAACTTATAAGAAATTGAAAATCTACATTGTTATTTAAGGTTTGAAACACTATTCAAGCATGGGACGGATTTATGAGAAGGGATGAAATCTCTGAGAAATTTTGCTATACGCTTTTTCGGTTAAGGTTGGCATTCAAATTACGCCCCTTCCAGAATTACCGTTTTTGTTTTTGTTTTGGAGACGTTATCTATCCTTAGTCACAAGACCAAATCAAACAATTGATTTAAAGAAGTAATTTAAAAGGTCAAGATAAACGCTCTTATTTTCATGTCAGTACTTTATCATTCGTCTTTTGTAAAAACGAACCGTCATCCAAGATCCAGCCTTTGTAAATAACAAGCTTCGTACAAGGTACGTCAATAAACCTTTTCGTACAGTTTTAAAATCCTGTCTCTGTAGAGTCGTTTTCTTTGCCTTCATCTATTCGTTTACATTGAACTAAACGAATTTTTATTTAATAAAAAAAATGATTTATTGATGAATCACTTTCATTGTTTGAATTCGTGATGACGACAAAAATAATTTGTCACATCTGTGAATAGTCGTTTTGGTTTGGGTAAGAATTACAATACACATTTTGGAAAAAAACTGATGTATTGCTGATTAGCTCATTATCAAACTCTAACCTTTTTTTTACATTATTTAGTACGAACGTATGCTAGAAAACTAATTTACACATCTAATTCAAAGCCACTATATATTTTCGTTAATTATGACAATGTCAAGCAAGACTTCTTTTTCTATATACAAGGCAAACTATAAAAAAAATAATTACAATATATTACAATGATGAGACTTAATATCTCTCATTTTGAATAAATATACAAGTCAAAGTGTTTTGCGGTGGTTGAGTCAAATAGCTGTGGCTACTTTACTAGATAAGATCTCAAGTCTCTGAGCCACTGAAAACCCATTCACAACAGTTTCAGTTCTATTCCTTTTCCTGAATGCGTTGCCGGCTCCAGTTGCTTCACCCCTTAAAGTGTCAGACAGCGATCTGATATAGCTACAAGCGATCCTTAAAATCTCAAGCTTGGTAACCCTTCGTTTGCTTTGTGGCACGGGAATGCATTTCTTAAGACTTTCAAGCGCCCGGTTCAGTGACCTCATTCGCCTGCGTTCTCGATCGTTGGCGCGAAGCCGTCGAATTCTTTTCATGGGTTCTAAACGGACACGTGGACAACCTAAGCCATTGTTTACTTCATCGTCAGCACTGCTCCACGTGCCACCAGAGGACTGCTCACAAGAACCGCTATCCTCACAAGGACTGGAATCGTATGAAAATATCTCGGTGTAACTCTGTAGCATTTCGTCCTCAAATGAAGTATTTTCCTTGGTTGCCATTATTGTTCCTCTTTTCATTGTCTGCAGTTCGTGAATACTGCACTGTTCTGAAGTATTGCTATTTAGTGACATATTCTCTGGTCCGTCGCAGGCGTTCGAGTTTTCCTCGCCTATGTTGTACATTCTTTCTTGTCCTCCTTTGTGGCGCATATTAGCATTCGAATCTTGTTCATATTCCATACACGATGTAATCTCACGACAAAACGTGTCCTCGAATGAGAAGTTCGGTTCGGCATACAGCCCTCGATTGTGCTCGAAGATCTCTTCCATTGTTGGACCTGAATTGTTAAGGGTAATGCGAGAAAACTGAGATTTAGTATAATTGGCTAATGAGTTAAATGGCGAGTTAACCAAAGCATTGGTGGATGACAATCTTTGTGCAACTAAATTCGTACAAGTTTTGCAGCAAACTACATAGCTTTACAGATGACAAGACGTGGAATGAATTCAAATTGCCCCAAACTCATAACAAAATTCATCGTTCTAATGTCTGGCAAAAATCAAAGCTTTCTTCAAAAAAGAAAAAAGAAAAAGAATTTTTTTTTGGAAAACTGAAAAGTGATACACCTATATACCAACGATCTGTTAATAAAGGTTGCTCTACGGTGTTAAAAGTGCTAATTATCATCGTTAATGCGAAAAATAAAAAACACACGGGAAACTAACCTGAAAGATGATGTTGTGTCCTCGACTCTTTGCTTCAGAAATGAGCAAGACAACGCGAGTAGACTTTATATGAGTACATCACGTGGGATAGGGCCAAACTTCAGGACAATAGGTGAAGAACAATAAGACATTCAAAAATTCCCCACATTTACCACGAGATACAAGGTTCATGCATGAATAATCAAGAGAGACCAATGTAAATGTGGTTTGTTTTTAGAATAGGTAGCATCATGAAGCTGGTATATTGACTGGCAACGGACTATGTAGAGAATAACTAACACTTTTATAAACAATCTAAAACATTTTATGATTTTAGCCTGAAATTGTTAACTATTGATTTCCAGCTGATATCTAGTTAATATCGGAAACAAATTTTTAACGAAAACGTCTCGAAGTTTGTACTTCTCTTTACACAAGGTCAAACACATTCGTTCACTCATAAGCACGACGCTATTCCCATTCAATATCACTGAACAATGTACAATTTAAACTTTGCTGAACATTTGTACAACCCAGACTTCAAGTTTGTTAAATTAATTTACAGGAAGATTACCGGGCTACCTTTGAAGTTTGGCACCTAGAATAGAAATGTGTGCTATTCATATGGAAACATGGCGAAAAACATTATTTTTTTGTTTTTAAAAACTAATTTACAACTCTGAAAAAATAACCCGATTCTGAATCTTTATTGAAAGCTCATTGTTTTGCGCATGCGCGTGGATAAGGATACTTAAAACCAAGTGGAGAGGGTTGAAAAGTTAAAAAAGGTACGGGAAGTAGATGTATTATGTTAAAAAATTTGACCAGTTTCATTAAATTCAAAGTATAATACGTGTAATCAAACTCCAAACATATCTACGAGGCGTCTGGAAGACAGAGTGAATCTCATTAGCATTTCGGCAAGTCTTCACTCTTATTCTTCTCAACTAAAGCTGCAAGCGTGGAGCCTGATGAATTGTAATTAACTAATACAGCACGCGTTGGAGATATTGATATAATTCACACAGTACTAAAGCTGGGATTGGATTAGCTGTAGTCTGTTTACACGAATAATGCTAGAAAAGATGAATGGTGTACTGAAGGGAGAGTCTCCTGGCCTAATTAAAATAACAAAACTCGCCGAAATGAGAGTGCCTATTTACCAACCGAGTTCTGACTGTGACCTTCATGGATCGAAATAACTCACAAGTTTATATCCCTAAATTTCGTCTCGATTTGAAATTTATTGTCGAGGTGAGAAAAAGAGGGTACAGCGAAGCTCCAAATTTGGTCCATGATAGAAAGTGGTTGGAGAAAGGCCAATCCATTTTGGGATCGAGTGACGTTGGGTTTTAGGCTTATCATTTCCCCTTCAATCTGTCTTTACTATCACAACATGTTCCTTAAAAAGGCCTTTTGTTTAAGCTTAACAAAAGATACATGTCTAGAGCCTCAAATACTAATAATTGATATTTTGAGATGCTTACATCTTCCAAGGCACTTTTTATTACACAACACAAAACAGACTCCGGGGTGGGCGAGGACAATTGTACTAGCACGTTTCACCATCTGATAAAGCGTTTTCCTCCCTGCCTTCAATAACACTCGTTAACAATGTCACTTGAGGATGGCCTGAGGAGGGATAACAATACCAATCAATTAATAAAGCAACGTAAATCTGCTCATTTCTTAGGTAACCTGCGGATAAAGGCGACTAGTACAATCACCACCACGTGCAATCGCCGGACACGTATGGCGCTATACTGTTAGGTTCACATGCTTTAGCAAAGCAAGTTTAATTCCTGTTCCTTTGCAAATGATGACAGTGAAGCACACAGAGTTATTTAAGTTAGAAGAGTGGTGTTAGGAGCTGTCTCGCTCAGGGGGAAATGCTGAAATTCAAAAGGGAACCTTGCGTGTCCTCGTGTCCTTACACGCCCCTTTGTCTAACTTGTCTAACGATTGAGAATGCTCTATTTAGAGCTTGTTTCACACATTTAATTGCTATTTGTACCATTCTTATTTTCCCTTAAGCCTTTTATTCTTTGCTTCGTACATAAGCTGGAACGATTTTCGAATGTGGTTATTCTTCCTGCAACAACCTTAAAGATGACCTTGCCTTTTGTGAGAACACCTCTTGAAGATCTTCCTTCCTTCCTTCCGTCCATGTCTAGCGTCTTTGACTTCTCATTCACACTTAATAAAAAGCCATTTTACTTGAGTGCTTGTTAGGACCACTTTTGTGTAAACATTTTTCATCTAAGGTCTTTAGTAATGCGTCTCTTGTAAAGTTATAATCAACTCGGAAATGGTTCAAAAGTACTCGTAATAATTAATGAGCGAATAATGTCACTAGGATAAGAAAGCTGAACAATATTGAGGTACGGTGACAAATGTATTGACAGTGTGAACGAGAAATCCCCTGCACAATATAGCAATGGGCTCTTACAAGGCTATTGTCTTAAGCGTTCGCTAGTTATATTTACGATAATTCCATTTATTTTATCCCTAGGACTCTTAACACCATTCAACTTGTATCATGGTATATTCCCCCATGGTATGAGCGATAGCTAGATTGCAGGTAGGCTAACCAAAAATAGGTGTCAGCGAACTTTATCTTGATAAGAGCACTAAAATACTGTTATGCTTCTCGTCTTGGCGAATCTTGTTGTCGTTGTGTGTGGAGAAGTTTACCCTAGCTCATGAATAATCATATCAAAGTAACGTGAAATTCATTTATTTCTTAATGACTTTGCACTGTTAAAAAACGTTTTTGTCCTCATTTAATTAACAAATAAGTAGAGAACTGATTTACCCCATAGAATAGCACAACCGCAGGGTTGGGCTAATGAATGCTTATTAAAGGTCCAAAACAGAATTAGTTTTTTCATGGGAAATACCAGAAATAAACCTTTAAAGGTGTGAAGTAAAACGAACCACTGAGAAATCCTGAAAACGCACATTTTTGATTGATGTTGTATCAAAAGGATGAAATGATTGTGTGAAGAAATATACTTCGTATAAGCATTATTGGGCGACACGTGCGATCTTATTTGACCGTCAATAAACTTGGTTTAACAGAGTTTACTTGTGACATGATTTGATGCATAAATACTGCCACATCATTACAACATATTTCCAATAGCCTTAAGAAAGAAACCGGTTTGAACACGCCGTGAGAAATACACTACTGTGTGAAATGAGAAAACCCTAGAGACTACAAACACAGCACGTGTGGGGTTTGAAAAAACACTTCGATAATTCGAAATCATTCAAAACCGTAAACAAATTTTAAAGATGGTGTTCGAAAGTTTGATGGCTGACACTGAATGACCTTGAAGAAGACAACGACACTCTCAACATCCACTCGTTCTTGACACAAAGTTTGCTGCTACGAAAAGTTAACAAAAAAGCAACGTTCAAAGCAATTAACCATCTCCTTTCAAGTTGTTTTGGTTTGACGTACGTGTTAGGTAATACGAATTTGAGTGTAACTGCACGCTTTGCACGAAACCTTCAGATGCCACTCCCATATATACCAAAAGATCAAATAAGAGCCACCAGAGTCTTTTTGTATTCATATCTCAATTTTCCCTCGCGTTTGAACTTTGCAGCGGCTTTGGTGAAACTCCAGGTCGCTAGGCAACGAAAAACGTCAGATCTAGTAAAATAAGATTAAAACTTGAGCGCTGTTAGAACTCTAGCCTGTGAGTGAAATTCTTAGTGCTGATCCTTTTTAGGAACTGAGGGTATATTGTGTTGTGTTAGACTATACATATACTGTCCTTCAATTAACCAGTCATTAAACCATGGGATTTTGTCAGAGAGGATTATAATTTAGTCCAGTGAAAGATCATTATAGCTAGTTGAGTTCATAACAAATAAAATGTGAAAACAATAGCTAGGGAGAAAGAAAACATCTGGGAAACATTTGCCATGACCAAGTTGGCATTGGTCTAATAAATACAACACAGACTGTTAAAGTTGCATTATCACGAGTTTTGTATTACAAGAAACTCTGCTTCTGAATAGAAGAAAGACAAAAACTCAAGACTAACATTCAAAACAGAAATATTCAATAGTGAGTACTAAGAAATCAGTGATAGACCAAGGGCGTCGATCCAATTCAAGGTTTAATCATTTCGGGAAAAAATTGTTCAGAAATTGAAGTGGCGATGTTTTGAGTTAGTCCAAAAAAAAGAGCTAGAGTACTAAGCTATCTTGGTGCATGGTAGTGCACAACAATAGGCTCACCTTACCTTTTTACTAAAACGTCTTTGGTATCAATGTTGTATCAAACCTAAGTACTGACAATGAGCATTCAAAGTACACACTAGGTGTAAAAATGAACCAAAGAAGCGCGAGAAATATCATGTATTTTTATTCATTAGTAAAACAGATAAATCACTACCATAGCTGGAACGAGCATGCTAAGATCAGTAAAATTTTGAAGCTTGAAGGGAATAAATTCAAAACTTACCCATATATAATTTTTGAAAAGTGTGAATTTTTCATGTAATTTGAAACCTTTACTGAAGGCAAAACATGCCTCCAAAAAATGTTTTCATACAAAATCCCAAATTTAGAATGTTCATATACCTTCGCGATTTTTGAACTTACTTCTATCAAACTTGGCAGCTTTACTAATTTTAACATGCTCTTTCCAGTTATGGTAGTTATTTTTCTGTCCTGTGAGTTTTGAAATTACATGATTGAAAGATATTTGAAGCTTCTGTCTTATTCTATAGTCAAAACATCACTAAACATCAACTTTTTTTCTCGCTTCCACAGTGTTCTTTGTTTCTTCCATTCATGTGAAGAGAGGCATTATTTTGTTCTCCTTTTCATTCGACTACTTTATCACTGGACTATAAATACCCTTTCTTTTACATTTCTTAGTAATTCGATGAATCAGCTTATCTTGCAAACACTTTCTATGAATTGAAGAGAAAAACAAAGTTGTTTTTTGGTAAAAAGAGCCTGAAAAAGAGCATTAATTTTCTCTGAATTCGTTCGTGAAACCGTTAAAAATCACGACAAA